AATTTTTATTTTTATCTACATTGAAAAAAGAAATAAAGCCCAATTTTTATTCCTATCAATGTTTACTGGTATCTACCCTATGCTAGGCAAATAAAATGTGTAAAAAGGAATGAAACCCTGTCCCTCCCTCTTTCAAGTTCCTAATTAGGAAATACTTATCACAAATCTTTATACTATCTACAGCCACAAGAAAAATTAAGTTGACTAAGCTGGTGACTCTGAGCAAACATAGAAGCTCCTCAGACATGAAACTGAAGTGAGATCAACTTTCTGAGGAAGGAAAATAGTAGGTACATATTAAAAAACTTAGAGTTGAAAGAAAAGATTTTTCTAGTCACTGTATGGGTTAAGGAAGTTCAGTGAACCAAAATATCAAGCTTCTAAAATATTTGTTAATCCATTTCATATAAATTTCTTAGTATATCTTTTTAAAGTATAAAGATAAAATCCATGTGGCATAGGGGTTAAGGCAGCTGGATTCCTACTGACTGACTACACAATTTGAGTCCTGGACTCAGTGGCTTGAGAAACTTGCAGGGTACGTATTTGTACATGCCTAAAATTCTGAGAGAGAGAGATGGAGAAGGGATGTGGCGTGACCGTTGCTACAGGGGTGTTTTCTCACCCCCAGCCTATCTTTCTCTAGCAACTACACATGCCCTGACAAATTAAAAAAAAAAAAATTTCACATGCAATTAGAGAACTGTACTGTATGTCTATAGCCAACATACGTTGTAAATGTCCCCAGACAAGTCCTAAATCAAGTATTCTATCCTTTGGTCCCTTTAAAGTCATAATCCCCAGAAACTGGAATCACATCATGGCTAGGCAAAACCCTGAAAATGCATATAATCCTTTGTAAGACCACATATAGCCAATTACTCTCTGCTCATGTCACCTAGTGTATTTCTACGTCAAAGATCTGCAGAAACAGCCTTAATACTTTTTGCCCAGTAATTGCTCATCTGATAGGGAAAACTTACTTAGGGAAATAGGTTTTTAAGGCAAAATTACATGAGCCATTACTGTCCCTCATGTTAGCACTATTATATTTTAAAAATTGTTCCTCAATTTTATACCTATGATTTCTAGTAAACTGAATCCTTTGAGTACTGCTTTAATCCTCTGAACCCTCTGCTGACTGAAAAGTGACCAGTTTAATGAACAGAATGCCTCATAAAACAATCTTCATTTGGGCCCAAAGGAATCCCAGTGACCTACAACTGCAATTGTTTTTTATGTTTTTTTTTTAGGTTTTTGCCATAGGGTGCATGTGCTTGAGGTGGGGCAGGCAGGGGAGATACCACCCTTGAGGGGGTGGCCATACCACAGTCCCAGAAGTGGTCTGAAGTGAGTTAATGTACTCACTCCGTGTTCTCAAGAATTCTTAAAAAGCAGGATAAAAATTAAGACTCTCACAAATGATTTTAAGTAACCTCAAGATGACTTCTGCATCCTGTTACAAATCGTTCTTCCCCAGCAACTCTACACATCACTTCACAAGGGAATTAGGACATCACTTTCCACGATACAGTTCATTTTGAGACTAAAAGCCAAGGAAATTAGTTATAAAATGGACATTTTATATTCAAGTAGCAATGACAGTCTTTTAATTATATAATGATAAAGGAAGCAAATAGACCAGTAATTGGGAGAGGTTGCAATTGAAGGTGCTAATGGAAGTCTTTTGTGAGGTGATGAGACCTAAAGGTTGAAAAGGAATGTTAGGAAAAAAGAGGAAGCAAGGGGCCAGCAGATGGCACAGTGGTTAAGGCACTGGACTTGCACAGGCCTTCCACAGCTTGAAAATCACACCAGGCGTGTGTGCGTGCGCATACCCAAAATCCTTAGAGAATGGAGAAGTAACTGTGGTATGGCCACCCCCTCGAGGGTGATATCTCCCCTGCCTGCCCCTCCTCGAGCACATGCATCCTATGGCAAAACCTTTAAAAAGAAAAAGCAAAAATGTCCTAGGCAGAGGGAAAATTTTGTGCAATGACTCTGAGGTAGGAAACATGGAAAACTCTGAAAGGTTAATAGCCAAAATACAGTAAGCAACAAAAGGAAATGTGGTAGGAAGGTTTAGCAGGGGCCAGATCATGCAGAGCCTAAGTAAACCATTGAAAAAGGTTAAGGGAGTGATAAGAGTCCCACTCAACGCTCTTTAAAGATTATTCTGTCCTCAGACATTGCCAATAAGAGAAGACTCCAGGATACCAACAAAAAATGCTAATAAGCCCCTTTATGTAAATTTTAAATTTGCAAATAACATACTAAAAATAATTGTGACCCAACACCCCAGTAGATGTTACCATGCTCCAATAAGCCCCAGTACTTCTCCAACATGAAAATAGTAACATTTTACAAAAATTTATGATCTCTTGCCCTAATCTCCACTTCCACCCTGATGGAGGAGTAGGAACTGTCATTAGTTGAGGAAACTGATGCAGACGGATTAAGAAACATACCCAAAGTCATAGTAAGTGATCAAACCCAGACTGGAATCTGTGTTCTAAAGCTAATCCCTTAAATCACTATTCCAGATGGCCTCCATTAGGCCTCCAATGCTCAGGGGGCTGATTCAGTCTTCCTCATCTTTGTATTCCTAGCATTTGGCTTATGCTTAGCAACAAGTTTGAACATTTACTTAATGAGTCTCATTTCAGACTTAACTCCAAAAAAATATCTTATTCCCAGACCTACATGAGGTACTGAAAACACTGTAAGATTCCAGACAGCAAGTTAGGGCACCAAAGGGAAGTGCTTTACGTTGTGACAGGAAATAAGAAGAGTCTGAAAATGAACTGCTTAAATGAACTTTTGAGAACTTTGTTTCCAGGACCAGCAGCTGGCGTAATGGTTGTGTCGCTATACTCCCACGTAGTCGACCGTGGTCCTGGCGGTTTAAACTCACTCCGGGTGCCTGTGTGTGCCTGCCCAGGATCCCACCCTGAGAATGGAGAAGGGATTGCAGCATGGCTATCCCCACCAGGGAGTGATTTCTCGCTCTTTCTGGATGAGGGCATGCACCCTATAGCAAAAAGCTCTCCAAAAAAGAATTTTGTTCCCAAAAATGGAGGCTATGCCTTCAGCCAGTTCACTCCCATTAGCAGTTACCCTCCTAAAGCCTCCATTTCCAGCATATCACAGTTCCACTGAGGCCCCAAGGAGAAATGGGAAAAGGAAACAAGAATGGGAGTATTTTTGCAAAATGATTAAGTTGCACATTATTTTTTATAGTACCGTATACTGGTATTTATGAGGGACAATTTCCTATCAGGTAGACTTTTTTAAAAGTTCAACCTCCTTTAACCTCTATTCAAAAATGTTAGAGTAAGTGCCACCTATTGGATATACCTGTCTCGGCACATTTTTCCCCACTAGTCAGCCTTGGTATCTTGTTGATGAAGAGACATGTCCAGGGTTTTCTGCTCAAATGCAAAAAGCCCCTGTAAAGGATAACAAGACTAAGTCAGTGGTGTTAAAAAACTGATAGAAGGGCTGGCAGGTGGCGTGGTGGTTAAGGTGCTGGACTCCCACATGGCTGACTGCAGTTGAGTCCTGGACCTGGTGGCTTACTTTCTCACTTTCCCTCTCCCCCTCTGTGGTCAAATTTAAAGAAATTAAGTTAAATGATTCTTTAAATAATAATTTTAAAAAACCTAATAGATGGGCCAGCCAGGTAAGATGGTTGTTAAAGTGGCAGGATCCCACATGGCTGGCTGTGGTTCGAGTCCTAGACCTAGCATGCCCAAAATCCTGAGAATGGAGAACGGATTGCACTGTCACCCCCAGGGGGTGCCTTATTACTTTCTCTGTGTCCTTTGGTGAGTGCACCCACCCTGTAGCAAATCAAAATAAAAAATAAAAAATAATACATTGCTAATGATTGTGTATATTGATCTGGGTTCAGAGGTAGCCTTGATTTAACAGTACTCCAATAAGCCACAATTTCCAATATAAAATTTGTTCTCTCTGTATAAAGCCAATCTCAGGTAGCAAGCCTGGAGGATAGGAATTCAGGGACATCAGGAGTGAGCAGAGTTCTTCCATCATGAACATTTAGGTGTGCCATGAAGTTCAGCAAGGTAGAATGGAGGGAAATCCATGAATGAGCTTTGGTATATGTACATACTTAAAGATGTGCTTCTTGGGAAGCCTTAGAGGGAAGCTGAGAGCAATCTGAGGTTAAGAAAGTTCCCCATGCTTGCAATGGAAACCACTTTAATGAAAACATTCATCCAAAGCTCATTACTTTATGGACCTCAAATGCACCCTAACGTAGAACCATCCATAATGCTCCCATTCCCACCAAGGCCTCTAGGGAAAGCTTGATAGAACAGTTTCAACAAATTCTATTCTGTGCTATGCAGAACAGGCAGAGAAATAAGTTTTCCCCCAGTTGTGCCCTCCAGGACCACTCAGTAGTTTTAACTGCTATTTAGTAATCAAGGATACCTTCGCAAGCTGGTCTTCAATATCTGGCTAGCTATATTGACTTTTACCCAAACTTTGAAACTTTTTAAAATATCAGTACTGTGACTGGCCCATAGTACAGTAAGTGCTATGCACAGGGAGCTGGAGCCTACCCACATGGCTGCTGCACAGTTCGAGTCCCTGCCCAGGGCTTGAAAAACACGTCAGGGTGCTTACCCAAAATCCTGAAAGGATGAAGAAATGGAGGAAAAAAAGAGTTGTAGTGTGACCACACCCCATGGGGGGAGGGGGGTCTCTTTCTGTTGAGTGCACACTCCCTCTGGCAAAAAAAATAAACAAACCTGGCCCAGCATGGTGGCAGTCATGGCCAGCCATGGGTTCAGATCCCTGGGTCTATCTGAAAACATGTTAGGCACTCATGCCTAAGATCTTGAGAAGATAGAGGGGCTGGAAAAAGGGAATCATGAAGTGACAAGACCATCAACAGTGATTCTCCCATGTGTGCACACACACAACACAAAATTACCAAAAAAAAAAGTAACTCAATTTTGTTTTTTTTAAAGCTCCCTTGAAGATTATGAAACAGATGAACCTGCCTCACCTTCTGAATTTGGAAACAAAGGCAGTAAAACAGTAACCACAAGCCTTCCAGAGAAATGTGGGACTCTTCAGTCCGTGGATGAAGAGTAGCTGCCAACATCTATGTAAAAGGACAAAGTGTGTTTTTCTTCCGAAGAGATGCTCAAGTTTGCATTCTGCTTTTTAAAGGCTTTGATTTATCCAAGTGTGTATCTGCACTAGGAACTTTAAAAGTATTTAGGCAATAGCTCTGGATACACTAGGAGATCAGTCCAATTTGCCTCAAACTCCCTGCAGAGCTCTTCCTTGAACGTGCATGACGTGCCATCACCTTCAAAATCTGCAAATCAATATTCAACACCGCTGAATTACCAAGGATCTCTTAGGGACAGTGTCAAGCAAAGTTCTCTGCACAGAAGCAGAAGTTGCCTCAGTGTTGGCCAGTATCACTGAGGCCCACTCAGAGCTCCCATGGAGCCTAGAAGAAATCTTCATTTGCAGAAAACTTGAGTCAAAAAATTCTGTGACTTGAAAAAGCAGTATAAGGGCTTCCAGAATTGACTGAGCCCTAGTAATAAAAGCACTGCCAAAACATCTCAGAGACTTCTTTTAAATATTATGTATGTGTACTGGAGTTCAAAGATCTTGAACTTACTTGGCTTAATGTAATTTTACAATGACCTGCCAAACTGCTAGTCACTTTACATCCTCAGGAACCGTAACCACTGGGCCTTCCAACTTTGCTAGCAAGCCTGTCAACCTCCCAATCTAAAGAAAAAAATTTCTCAAATGAACACAAATACAGAATTTGACTCATACTTAAAAGACCTTTTTATCTAACATCTATGGAAAACTTGATTTATTAATATTCAAATTAGTTGATGCACCATCTTCACTTCCTATCAGAAGGCCTACTTGGAGAGGTAATGATGATAATAAATACTAGACTAGGCCAAAAGTCAAGGCTTAACCTAATCTTTCCTTCACATTGGAAAGAAACTCATTTTTCATCTATTTCATTTACTCCAGTGTTTATCACAGAATTTAAAAACAATGGTGCGCCCATAAAAGACAACTGTTGTTTCCTGCAGTGGCAGGTATGCTCATTATAGAATCATACATTATGTTTTTTAGGAACCCAAGTGCAGCCAAACTCTATAATATCCTTGAAAAGAAACTTTTTTAATGGACAGTTCTCAAATAGGTAAAAACTCTCTAGTAACTTTCAGTCATCAAATTTTCCTCCATAATTTTTTTTAATTACAATCCTAAAAGTGTCACTTCAGTCCCTCCTTTTGGTGGTATAAAGGACATACATTGAAATAATCAAACTTTGGGCTATGGTTGCCAAATAGTGGAGAAAAGGAGAATTTAGGAAATGTACCATCAACTACTACAGTAAAATTTGCTTGCCACAAATCTTCCCAGTTTCCCTTTTTGTAATCTTCATGATTAGAACTAATCTTCTATTTAACTGTCAAAGCGATAAGACTATTACAACTAATAGTTCACAGAAAAGAATAAAACTAAATTTTTAAGAAACACTGTATACAGTAACTTACACACACTGATAACTTAGGATTATTTATGTGATACATGAAATTCAGCATCAATCCTATACAGCCTTTACTAGAAAAGGAAAGCAACAACTTTATTTCAGGGAGAAATATAAAAAAGGTAGTATGTGTAGAGGCCAAATTTGGTTAAAAGGTTTTTTTATTAATAATGATCTAACCTGTTTCTAAGAGTCAACAAAAAAAAGAAAATAAAATTCAGTGTTGATACACTTTTTCTCTTATTTTATTTTTTAACCTTGTTTCTCCTTACTTAAGTCACTCTTGCTTTCACTCTGGTCAATATCTGGGTTTAGAGGTCTATAGTTAGAAAAGTACAACTACCAATACTATTCCATTTAAGATATGCTATTTTAATTTAGTTGTACTGAAACTACCATATTTTCAACAATTTTAAGAATGTGTTTCACTGTATTCCTTTATTAGAGCTGAATGCAAGGAATGTGAATTCTGAGGTACTAAGCTAGTATGTATTGGGTCATCAGAAAAGTCATGATGCGTTTTTCAATGCAAAACGCAAAAAACGCATCATGACTTTACTGACCTAATATTTAACTTTCCTCTAAAGATAATGCCAAATGTAACTAATCATGATTACCGAACTAGAAATGTCAAGTTGTTACAATATCCTAGGCCCCTTGATGCAAATCAGTGACAAATGAATTTCACAGCATAGCATTAATTGCCAAAGCAATGGCATAAACTTCTGTATATCTTCCCTGCATTGTATCTATGTCAATACCCCATTCAAAGTGTTTATAAAACTAGTGCTTGCCACAAATCTTCCCAGTTTCCCTTTTTGTAATCTTCATGATTAGAACTAATCTTCTATTTAACTGTCAAAGCGATAAGACTATTACAACTAATAGTTCACAGAAAAGAATAAAACTAAATTTTTAAGAAACACTGTATACAGTAACTTACACACACTGATAACTTAGGATTATTTATGTGATACATGAAATTCAGCATCAATCCTATACAGCCTTTACTAGAAAAGGAAAGCAACAACTTTATTTCAGGGAGAAATATAAAAAAGGTAGTATGTGTAGAGGCCAAATTTGGTTAAAAGGTTTTTTTATTAATAATGATCTAACCTGTTTCTAAGAGTCAACAAAAAAAAGAAAATAAAATTCAGTGTTGATACACTTTTTCTCTTATTTTATTTTTTAACCTTGTTTCTCCTTACTTAAGTCACTCTTGCTTTCACTCTGGTCAATATCTGGGTTTAGAGGTCTATAGTTAGAAAAGTACAACTACCAATACTATTCCATTTAAGATATGCTATTTTAATTTAGTTGTACTGAAACTACCATATTTTCAACAATTTTAAGAATGTGTTTCACTGTATTCCTTTATTAGAGCTGAATGCAAGGAATGTGAATTCTGAGGTACTAAGCTAGTATGTATTGGGTCATCAGAAAAGTCATGATGCGTTTTTCAATGCAAAACGCAAAAAACGCATCATGACTTTACTGACCTAATATTTAACTTTCCTCTAAAGATAATGCCAAATGTAACTAATCATGATTACCGAACTAGAAATGTCAAGTTGTTACAATATCCTAGGCCCCTTGATGCAAATCAGTGACAAATGAATTTCACAGCATAGCATTAATTGCCAAAGCAATGGCATAAACTTCTGTATATCTTCCCTGCATTGTATCTATGTCAATACCCCATTCAAAGTGTTTATAAAACTAGAATGATCACATGAGATAAATCGATTGCTCAGCTTTTGAAAATGTTAATGTGTGTTTAAGTGAAGGCTGCATGATTTTGTTTTCCTTTTTCGCAAAACTAAATAAAGTTGTCAATTACGAAATACGTAATTACTACACACTTGGCTTTAATCACATTTGCACTTATTTTTATGTCTGAAAGATTAACACCATAAACAAGCTTGAGTTTCAAAAAAAAAAAAAATGTATCTTAGAATCCCTGGGAAAACTATTTTTTAGAAGGTCTAGGGACCAGCAGATGGCATAATGGCTACGTCGCTGGACTCCCATGTAGTCGACAGCAGTTAAGAGTCCCGGACCTGGTGGCTTAAACTCACAGTGCGCATGTGTGTGTGTGCTGGCCCAAGATCCCGAGAGGAGACTAAGTGGAGGGCCATCCCTCTTGGAGGGTGATGTTTCACTTTCTCTCTGGCAAGCGCATGCACCTTATTCCAAAAACCTCTCAAAAAAAACAAACAAACAAAAACAAGTATAGAATATCTTATACTGAGAAGTGATTTCCTCTGGAGCCAGGGAAGAGGACCAGGGTTTGGAAGTGAAAGGCTCAAGGTATTCAAGAGAACTTTAGCCTTATCTCCTCGTGTAATGTAGTATTTTAAAGTAACTGCAGGTATTAGGGACCTAAAATTTCATTATTTTAAGAGGAGGAAAAAATATAAAATGCAATTCAAGTATAAGATTAAAATATTAGAGGGACCAGCAGTTAGTGTAATGGCTATGTCACTGGACTCCCATGTAGTCGGCTGCAGTTCGCATCCTGGACATACTGGCTTAAAACTCACGCCAGGCGCGTGTGCGTGCGTGCCCAAGATCCCAAGAAGAGAACGGAGAAGGGATTGTGGCATGGCCATGCCCCCTGGGGGGTGATTTCTCACTGTCTGTCTGTCTCTGCCTGTCTGGCAAGCACGCACACCCCATAGCAAAAACCTCCCCCCCCAAAAAAAGTACACATATATTATACTTTGAATTCAATATTTTCCTACAGCATTTGTTACCTATGATATGGGAAAAGTCTATTTTATATTTCATCTGATTGTCATAAAACTTTTCTTCAGCAAGATCACCACGGAGTTGTCTTAAGAAAATGAAAACTACAAAGAACTAAAAGGAATCCTTGCTATAGGACCATAGTAACTCTACATGGAAAGATAAACTCATGAAGCTTATCAAAAGGTAAGTTGTCAACCCTAAAACAATTTGTAAGGTAAAAGATCATTGGAGCATTTACTTTAGTAACAAGAACTCAAAAGAACATTCAAGATATGTCATATTAAATGCTATTATTATTTCAGTGGTTTCAAATCCTGAAATAAATCTAGTTATTTCACTAATAACCTCTCAATCACCCCTTAGTCACTGATCATCATTCCTAAATAACTCATGGTATAAAGAAAATACAGAAATCAAGGCACTGTAATTACTTACTTTTCCCCAAATGTATGTAATACAAACCCTCCAGAGCATTTTATCCCAAACTCCTCAGTATTCTACAACATAGAATTAGAAAACTATCATTTATTGATAGATTTAAGGTGTAATACAGGTTTCAAAAAATGTGGCAGTGAGAATACCAGCATAAAAAAGAGAAACTTGTGCTAAAAACAACCTGAATTCATCATTGGCAATATTCACATAACAATCAAGTCCCTCACATACTAATGATTTCCACTTTGTCTATATTGCCAACCTCCCATGCATCAAAAAACACAAAACTAAGATTATCAAACTTGGGAATCAATAAAGTTCTCTATGATTTTTAGGATCATAATATTAGGAAAATTTGGGAGATTTGTAAAATATATCCTAATCATCCATGTGTACAATCTCATTTCTAGTCATTTTTGCAGTGATCATTAGTGAATAAAGAACAGATTTACAAATTTATATAGCAGGGCATCTGGGTTCAACACAAAATTGTTACAAAACTTTAGGTAAATACATATTTCATAAGACACTGCTAACACTTAAAGGAATTAAATAAAATTCCAAAATTTGGAAAGCAAATAAAGACAAGACAACTAAGAAGCATTTTCCACCATTTACTCTTGTTATCAAAAATAGTTCAACTCTTCTTGCAAAACAAAAACAAAATAGTACATACTGGACACATACATCACATTTTTCTTCCTATGGCTTTAGCCCACCCCCACCCCACCAAGAGAGACCGAGAAAAAAAATCAAAATAAAAACAAAACAAACAAACAGAAAAAAAAAAAAAAAAAAAAAAAAACAGAAAGCCCAACAACAACAGAAACAATTCTACCTGACCACATTCACAGAAAATGACACCGGGATACACTACAAAACTGAAGGAGGTGTCATCTGCTCTGTGTCCAAAGGTTTCTTCTCCGTGTCTTATACTAGGCGAGTAACCATCATTGAACATGCTGTGTGCCAAATCAAAACGTAACTTCAACGTATGTCAGATCTTACTAGAGATGGTGAACGTAGTAGAAATGGGAAATATTCCAGCAGTATTTTTCTTTAAATAAGCACTGACAAAGCAGCAACTCTTCTTTAAAATCTTAAGGTTATTTCTTTACACTTAGTCAGTCTTTGTTTTATTTGGGCTGTGCTCTCTCAAGCAACTGACTAGATATCCCTTCAACAGAATGTCTGTGACTCACTTGTCTTCCCCATAAAAATTAAAGGGAAGGAGTGCATTTAAACTGAAACATAGTTTGTGCTTTACATGCAAAAGAGCATTCTAAAGAAAATCCTCCTAGGTTTAAACCTACCTAAATGCACAGGCTTCTTAAAAAGACATTTTTATTAGGCCTCTACAAAGAAACCTTCATAATGAATAGCACCCTTAAAAAAATAGGAGCATATTCAAAATAAGTCTGTGACAAAGTATAGGTTAGAAGAAACAAAAAAAAAAAAAACAAGTGGCCAATGGCATTAAGTATAATGTATAACTCTAGATAAGTTTTGGGGCATTATTACAAAATCACTTTAAATAAATCCCAATTTACAAATAAAACACTTTTATAGTTTTTTTCAAAAATTGTGTCACATATTATAGTTTAAATTCAATTACCTTCCGAATAAAACTGCTCTTCTCTACTTCATTTACCCAATTGGAACATTGCTCAAAGTGAAGGAAAGATTTAGAATTTTTTTTTTCCCTAGAAATGAGTCAGACTGAAGAGGCTCAACTCTAGTTTTGTAACATAAACAGCTAAACATCTGTAGTCTGACAGAATTTGTTCACTTTTTCAAAAGACAGATTTCTTAAACATTCTAATGAGGGGCAAATTTCCTTTCATAATACTGCTGATTTAAGAACTGCTACATACACCAGTAGCCAATTTTCATGATCAGAAATGGTATGTCAGCACAAAGGTTGAGCTGGACACATCAGCTTTTCAACAGGAGGAACATCAATGGCAACTGAAGACAGCACTGAGTCTCCTGAACAAACTAATGGCTACTTTTCCACGCCCGAGGGGAAAAAAAAAAAAAAAAAAGCGCAATCTTTA